GCTTTGTGCTTGTTAGTGTCGTGTAACATTCGTAATCGGATGACGTAAGACGATCGACAAACGTTTAATTATCGATCTGCTAACATCTTAGTGAGTGAGTGAGTGAGTGAGCGAGTGACACATTTGCATATTCAGACCCCTCACAATAACTCGTTTCTACGCTTCGCGTATCCACGAGTTAAAAAGAGGGAAAAAATGCAAACATGCAAATAACCAAGCATATTGGCATAGAAACAAACCTCTGTAATTCATCTTTTTCTTTGACATGTCTTGATAAAAATTTCAGTTCTTCTCTGTTCATCTTGTCTTGGTCTTTCTTCAAGTCATTCATTTGTCTGATGGATAAGATTACAAATTCAATCAAATAATTTGACACCAAATAAAGAAAGCAACAACTTTATGTCCTTACTGAATTCGAATATTATACTCTTCAGAGTTATAATCGTCCTTAGGTGAGAATGGGGAATATTACTTTACATTTAATTTATACATAATTTGGATTTGTTGGTGCCTATATAAACAACAACAAAAATTTTTCAATCCTCAAGAGAAGGGCGGGAATTATTATTTTTTAATCCCCAGATTGGGAATTAGTGCAATTATTAGTTTTATTAAGTGTAAGTAGTGGTTTATGGGCAAAGTGGGTGAGACTAAGGAAAAGACCAGAAGAATGAAAAAGGATAAGAAAGGGGAAAATTTTTAATTCATTTACCTGGCATGAACGTCATCTAATAACTTTAACTGGTCTTCATGAGACTGCTGCAAGACTCGGTCTAGTTCCTCATATTGCTGGAATTAAAATAAACATTAAAATAATATTTAACTTGTATGATTGAACTAAATAAAAACCACTTAAAGTACCTTTAACAATAACTAACTACTATAACAATACTCTACTTATAAAGCTATATATCAATCCCAGGAATATAGAGTGAAAAGCAATCAATCACAATAATTACAGTTTGTTAATATTTCAATTAGATGTTAAGCTTTTGATGAACAGCCCACACATACTTACTGGGTCAATTTGCTTTTTGGAAAATTCTAGCTGCTCAGCCAGTTGACGCTGTAACAACTCAATCATGTGATCTCTATGTACCCTTTTAAGGCCATCAACCTGAAACAAGTCATAATTCCAATGCTATTAATTCAAACTTAATCATTATACAGATATTTTTTCAAAAAAGGCTGGAAATAAATACATAATGTTTTTGTTGCATGTTGTATGTTAATATTGTAGCTTGAAATGTAATATTCATAATATGTAATTGAAGTCCTATAAAACATGACATAGCTGAAGATACTTACCTTACTGTCGTGTGCCTTGGAAAGGGAATTGATTTCATCCATTCCTCTTTTGTATGTCTCTTCATAACTTCTGTTAAAAAAGTATGAAATTAAGAAGAAATGGATGAACGAATGAACAATAAAATGAATTAATAAGAATAATATATTACAGCATAATATTAAAAAATGCAATATTGTTCTTAAGAAAATCAGTATTGGTTGAAAATAAAAATCAGCCAATCAGAAGAAATCGATCTCATGAATTAACATGGTGGTTGCCTTAGAGACAATGAAGATTACAAGTTAAAACCATAAAGTATAGAATGTAAAAAATAACATTTTTACCCCTTCTTTTCAGCTTTTCTTAGTTCTTTTTCAATCCGTCTTTTTAAGGAACTCTTTTCTTTTTCAAGGTCTTTGAACATTTTGTCCTGTTCAAGGAAATGTCCTTTCTGTAGTTTATCTTTCTCCTGGTTAAAAAATGTAAGACTGCTAGAAATTTATAATATCAAAATGTGAATAAATAAATGAATGGAAGAATGAATGAATAAATGAAAAACTAATGTATAGATAGATGGATTTCTGTTAGATGAATGGATGGATGGATGAATGAATGACTGAATGAATGGATTGATGAAATGAATGAATGAAATAATGAAAAATTGAAAGGGTGAATGAATGAATGAATAAAAAATGAATAGATAGATAGATGGCTACTTAGATGGATTGTTGATAGATGAATTAATGGATGGATGAATGAATAAATGACTGAATGGATTGATTGATGAAATGAATGAATAAAATAAAGAATAAATGAATGGATGGATGGATAAACAAATAAAAGAAAGAATGAATGAATGAATAAATGGATAAACTTTATAAAAGAGAAAAATAGGGGATCACTTGATAGAGTATTAAGAAAAGAAAAAACAAACAGGAAAACTAACAAGGGAATTGCTGAATATTTTTTACAAAATGTACAACGAGAAAGCAGAAGATGAATGAATGGTATTATTTGAGAAAATGAAATAAAAATGAAAAAAGCAAAATTAGTGAATGAATAAGAATAAATGAATATGGGAGATAGGAATAACCTTTATTTATCCAAGGTACACTAGTAGGGACACTGTTATCAATGGGAGCCCTGTCTACCATAAATACAATTTACAAAAATAAACGTTTCACCTTTTCATGTTTCTTTACCAAGATATCATGTTCCTTTTTGTTCTTCTGCAACAACTTCACATAATTCTGACCAAAATAAAGAATACGTGTTAATAACACCACAAGTTTTTGAATTAAAACAAATAAAACAGCTTTTCCCATGCTCTGTTCTGTAATAAAACATGCAAGAAGTGTGAAGAGAAGCATGAGCAAAAGAAGAGTGCTATCTCGCCACACATCTTTTGTATCACTTCATGCATCCTTTATCATTGAACAGAGCATGGAAAAAACTGTTGTAGATTTCAAATGCTGCTTTCATATTACTTCTAAGGCCAGATGGTGTCAGCAACTGTTTATTACTAAGGCATGGTTCTCAACCAATCAAACTGACGCCATACTATCTAAGCTATAATAAAATTAAAACCCTACCTTTTGTTCCTTGAGCTGCTCTATGGTCATAGCTTCAACCTTCACATCTGCATCAATGAAAACGATATATTTTATTACAATTATTTAAAAAWAWATATAAAATTTATTTCATTTTGTAACTGCATAAGCAAGTTTGTTGCTACTGGCTATATGTGTATGTAAGTTGTTGGTAAAAACTTAAGTTTAATTATACTGTTCTCGACCAATCAGAATTGATTCATGTACTACAGTTTAATGAATCAATCAATGCTTATTTATTCATTAGCAATACTGGAAGTATTATCTTTATGCATCACAGATTGATGACACATTTATAAACATTGGTTCCATGGAAGCAAACACTTATTAACATGTTAACAATCACTATGGTGACTAAAATTTTTTACTTCACACAATAACAAAGCAACTACGTGTCAATCATAAGGATGTATATTAAATCAACACTAACATATGTGGTTCCACGACATGTCTTCCTCTGTTTTTGGTCGACCTGAAAAAGTGGAGTAAAATCATACTAAGAGAAAAGTGAGCGTGAAAAAGTGGATGAATAGGATGAATAGGATGAATAGAAAAATGAAGATGATTTATTATTAATTTAATGAGTTTCATTTATAACATCTTTTAGTGAAAACCTGTGATGCATAATTCATATTATCTTGAATAGCAGCACAATTATTTTAATCCTTGATTTATAAATAAAATATAAATAAAATATTAACAAAATTAATATTGAATACTCACAGACCTCAGGTGAATAGGTTATGACAAAAGCCACCATACTGGAATGTCAATATTTTTAGTTTTAAAACTTATTAATCCGTTTTTTAAAGTTATAACTTTTTCTGGAACAACAATTTTTATACTGGAAGTTTAGTTTCATTCATGCAGCTGAATGCGTATAATTTATTCATTCATCTGGGTCTAATTTAATATATATTGATTGTCAAAATCTATGATGTTATTTTAAGTATTTAAGATTCTTTATTAAACAACTGCATGGTTGACTATTTAATATCAGCTATAGGAAATATTCCTAAATTATTTTGTTTTGGTTGATCGCACTGCTCTAATCAATATTGCTCTATTCAAATGATTCAGGTATGATCATGGAATGCAATTTCCCAATAATTTAGAGCTAAAAAATAATATATTAAATAATTTATAAGGTCATAATTATTTTTTGAGTAGAGCTTTTGTGTGACATTGTTGTGGACAAAAAGTGTACCGAGGTCCAGAATTAATTATAACGGTCAATGTTCTTTACTGATAGATTTTGTCACATCTATTTTCATTTTTAATAAATAATCTTCATAATATATGTTGTATTTTATAGTTGATGAATAAATGTCAAAATTCTTTTAAAACCTACTGTTATTGCAATTAATTTTTCAAACATGCAAACTCCATGTCTGCAAGGTGCACGCTAAAATATTTGTTTTTTTGCTGCCGCCAGTCAAAAATATGAAAGGTACTGACTGATTAGGTTTGATTGACGGCAGTGAAAAACCAAATTTCAGCATGCAGCTTGCAAACATAGGGTTCAAAGCTAAGAAAATGCAATAATACAGCATTATAAAAGTTTAAAATGTTTGCCAAAGGCAGGGAAAAATTTTTTTTTTCATATTATGAAATTAAAATTTATAATTTAAAAAGAAAGAATAGATAAAATAGTTTCAGGACTTTTGTTAATAGTTTTAGAGTCAATCCCGCAGACAGTGATAATACTTAATTAATAAAATGTAGAATGGAATATGGTTGAAATATGGTTAAGGGACTTGTCATAAATTAGCAGCGTAGAGGGAGCAATGATTTGAGTCAAAGTGGTGAAAATCTTAAAAATAATGACCAAGCTACAAGCATTAGGTATGTGCTTTGCCAATTGGCATAATTATAAAAAACAAGATTTTGAAATTAAGGCCTGATTTGAATGTTACAAGTTCTGTAATTTCCATACTTCTGTAAGCTTTAAAAAAAACTTGAAATACAGTCTAGTTTTTAATCAATTGAATTTTCCAACCTTGATAGGAATGCACTAGGAGGTTTTCAAGACTGTTGTAATTGCCAGTAGCTAATTGTGGCCCTTGTTCCATGATGGAGGAAAACCAAATAGCCCAGAAAACCCCTCAATGCACAGGAGAGAACCAACTTGAGACTCTACTCCAATATAACACCAAGTTTGGTAATTGAACCAGGGTTGCACTGGTGAACGGCAAAAGCTATTGCTGCTATATATGCCACCAGTGCTTGACAACTAAGAAGCAGTTACATCGAACCTTCCCTTCTCCTTGCCCCCCATCTCTGCTAATTTCTGACAATGTAAGGTTAAAAAACAAATGTTGGTAATGGTAAGAAAATAGTGTGCTACATACGCTTAGGAACCAGTGTGGATGACCGTGACCAGTGGTAGACTGCAACATTAAGAAAGATTAAACTAACAATTTACCCTAGGCTAGACACTTATAGCAGAAAGACACACACAAAAGAAGCACAAGAGAATATTGCTGTTATAAGCTTGTTTCTTTGACGGACAAACTGAAACTAAAACATACAAAAACCCTTCCACACAATTAGACTAAATTAAATTAATAAAACTACGAAAGCAATTACATACACTGTACACATATTAATAATATAAACTATATACTAGCTAGAGAAATGAATAATAATGATAAATAACAAATGAGATTTAACAGTAGATTCCACAGTGGCTCTTCTTCCACTGGATTCCATTTGGAACTTATTGGTAGTCATTAAACTCGTGAAATAGATATTAGACTACCACAATGTTTTGCTAAATTAAGAACAAAATACAAAAATATCAACTATAAGACTATGAACAAAATATTTACTACTTGGCTAAGTGCTATAAATTACTGATTAACATCAATACAGCCAACTAATTTCAATGACAACAAAGAAACTGGAAAAAATAAAATAAAATAAAATAAATTTCCTATAAAAAAGATGCTATCAGCTGTCACTGGGAACAAAATCAAATAAATCAAAAGCCATGCTGGAGGTACTACTGAATAGAACTAAAAGTAACACCAACATGTCTACTGTAACATGAAGTACAGCTTCTACAAACAAACAATTGACATTTCCTGATGGTAACTTCATCACAACCTTCTCACCTGGCTCTGAGGTGATAATAAGGGATGTGGTCTTGCCTTCTCTTCTCTTAGCACTGAACGTTCTCTTGCAGAGGGCAGTTGTTTCTGATGGTGGTGGTGTCTGTAGAGACTGTGCTCTTCCTGATACTGGATAAGGACTGGAGACTTGATGCTGTAGTTGTGGTTTCATTCCAGCTCCAAATGTGTCACGAAGACTTTCACGATGGACGAATTGGGAGATTGATGAGCCCCGACGTTGGCCTAAGATTGCTTCTGTTGCTGATAAGGAATCTAAAGAACAATCATTGAATGACAGTCAATACTGACAGAAGTGTAATGAATGTTTACTTTTTAGAGTGTGAATGGCAAATAAAAACAGTCAAGAAATTGAGTCCTTCAGTCAGCAGGCCAGTCACTGTCAGTCAGCAGGCCAGTCAGTATCAGTCAGCAGGCCTGCAGTCACTATCAGTCAGCAGGCCAGTCACTATCAGTCAGCAGGCCAGTCAGTGTCAGTCAGCAGTGCAGTCAGTGTCAGTCAGCAGTGCAGTCAGTGTCAGTCAGCAGTGCAGTCAGTGTCAGTC